TTTGCTGGGTTACGTTTTACGTCCTTACGGAATTTTATGTGTGAAGGCCTTAAGGCTGATGGCAGACAACTATCCGTAGACTGACGTAGTCGTAGACTTAAGGTAAGGCAGAGAAAAATATAAGCCGTAAGGAACACGTGTTCCACGGCTTACGTTTTTCTCTGCCTTACCTTAAGTCTACGACTACGTCAGTCTTAAGCGCTTACGGATAGTTGTCTGCCATCAGCCTAAGTCTTGCATCCCATCTTTATAAGTCTGTACGTCCTGCACATACAATATGTATGTATGTACGTACATACATCATATATTTAACATACGCATCGTTTACTTTACTGGATATCGCAAGATTCCGTGCGTTCAGTTTTCGTCCGCGCAGTTTCCAGAAAAGAAATGAAACGCAACCCCCCTCGATAAATATATGTTATAATCTTATTTTATTGCTTGCGTTACCATACGTGTAGGAATACAAATTAAGCGCTTTATATTACAGTGTTCGTCGTGTTAAAGCTATCGGAAAGAGGAAGAGAGAATTAAATAGAATCCCACGAACACACGGCCATGTCGTTCGTTGTTCGAGTCGCGCTCGAGCTCCGGGACGCGGCAGAAGACAGGTCGTTTCCTCACGGTGTGTTGTTTCATTAATTCGCCAGAGAGAGAGAGAGAGAGAGAGAGAAACAATTGAAGAAAACGAGAGAAGTCGCCCCTGGACGCAGCGGCAAACCAATTCCAATTTGTTGGTTTGTTTATACTATTGCACTCTCTTTCTCTCTTTTCTCTTATATAAAATATTCTCGGCCCTGTCGCACCAACAATGCTGGACAACTAACTACTTTATTTTATAGGATGACTTCCCGAATAGACGATTCCTCGAATGATCAAATTGCACCGTTCAATATGACAATCTTGTAGACGTCGTAGCGTACCATTAATAATATACACAATTTTGTTTGCTTCAATTGAAATGAGAATTTATTTCTCTCTGAGATATAAAGTTGATCGATCGTTTCAATTAAACGGGGGGGGGGGGCTGATTCATTTGACTTGAATTCTACAGAAAACTTGGCGAAGATTCGTTTGATCTAAATGTGATATTGATAAGAATTATGATCAATCTTAAGGATTACGTCGCGATGCTGTTCAACACCGAATTATAATCGGCAATTCTTTCATTTTCTCATTCCGATAATTGCAATATACGCGCGGAAAGAAATAAAAAACTATTTAGTCAATCGAGAGCAAACGTTGGCGCAGCAGATCCAATTAAGGTATTCATTCGATCGCCTGGTCGTCGTAAAACCGTACAGCACACCTTTATGGAAAAAAACACGCAAGTTTTGAGTGTTAACTCTCGATTATCCGAATTTACTCTCAAATTTGGGCGTAAATATCCAGATTTAAATATTTACATCCAAATTTGAGAGTATAATTCGGACAATCGAGTGTTAACACTCAAAACTTAAGTGTTTTTTCCGTAAGGGCAGAAAGTTAAAATAATGTTGCTGAAACGTTGCAATGTTGAATATTGAAGTATAAATATCTTTCCTACGTTGAATCTAGATTAATGTTTGTACATTAATTTTTTTATATTACTGCAACGTTAAAACAATCTTGAACAAATTATTATTTTTTGACACTCAAATAGATACTTAAAAATGTATAATTATGAAATGTATATACATATATGTATATGTATATATATGTAATATTTTTGCAACGGTCAGAAATTTTCTGAGCTAAGATTGGATTATTATTTTTTTAGTGGAATAATTCAATTCCAGCACTTCCTACAGTTGTAAAAAATATTCTGCTAAACGCGACCAATGTTAACTCAATATAATTTAACAATGCTTTCTGAATGTTGAATTGTAACGTTTACAAGACATTACAATTCAGCGGACATCAGACAGCATTTTTGCAATATCTTTTCAACGTTGAATCTACATTTCGTAACATTGATGCAATATTGTAATGGAACGTTTCTGAGATGTTGATTCAACATTTGTGTGCTGTATGGGAACGATCATTACACCTAACGATATCGAGTCGCAAAGTTGACGCTTAGCTCCCGTTCCTCCAAACGTGTTAAATTCCTCCGTCAGCGGTCAAAGCTAGACGAATTGAAGACACAGCCGACAGAATCTGTCGTGCATGATTGTGTCTCTGATCTTCACGATTCTTTCCACGGAGTAAACTACAATTTATATATGTATAACGCGCGCGAAATTACATAAAAAAGTTTTATAATTTCCATTTATCTCGGCATCTCGGAAACTTCCCTCCTGACAATGAGTCGCGAGAGAGCGACTTGGGAGGCAATTCTTTTCGTATCGAAATCGATTCTGCTAGATCCTTATTGGAGCTCATCGAGAAAATCCTCGCGGGAGGCTGATTCCAGTTGGTTCGGGTTTCTTCATGCAAAGTAGCTGTAAACCATCCCAAGGGACTCTGGGACTCTAAGGGGGTGGGGATCTTCCGGATGAAGGAAGGGGACCTCCCGATCAATCCCGATCAACCTCACTCGTCTTGTGACTGAGAATGGTCTCGATGTTGCGCTGAATCCGCGCGATCTGCGATCGTTTACTCCTCGGTGTCATTGTGCCCCCCTCCTCGATGTACAAGTTACCGGCCGCCGCTGCCGTTGCTGCCGTTGCTGCCGTCGTCGTCGTCGTCATCGTCGTTGTCGTCGTCGTCGTCGTCGTCGTCGTTATCGTCGTCGTCGCCGTCGCCGCCGCCGCCGTCACCACCGGCGTCTCTCGTTTCCGGTCTGCAAGCAAAATAAACGAATCCTCATCAGGCCTGTCGGTCAAGCGCGAGTAAAGAGAGAAGAGGCTCCAAGCCGCGTCGCGCGGCTTGAGATCAGCTTAATACGGGAGGATAGAAACTTGCTATACTTTTGACAATTGATTCAAACGGATCGATACTCGAAGAATTTTTCGAGAAAAAGGAAAAAGAAAATTGTCTTTGTAACGTAGCTTGAAATTTGAGTTATAGCGAATTCGGTTGCTTGTGCACTAGTGCGCACTGAGTGCACACTAAGGCTTGTTTACAATCAATTCTTATATTTAAAGATCGTCTGAAATATCTCTTGAAATATTTCGTAGTCTGTAAAATAATCTGTGTAACATCCACGCAGATTATTTTTTGGCTAAATACTTTTTGAACATGTATTTAAGACAAAGTTAAATATAAAAATGAACTATAAACAGGCCTTAGTGTGCACTCAGTGCGCATTAGTGCAGGCAATCGAATTCGCTATTTAATTTAGAACCGCCGCGACACTTAATTAACAGCCGACGACGTATTGTAATAATGTAATGAATAATAGAAAAGAAAGACGCATTGAGTGTGAAAAAAATGTCTTTGTAGTTGAATCGGACATATCGATATACTTTTTGACTTTCCCTCGATTGAATTCGATCGTAGTCGATTAATCATCGATTCCCAAACGCGCCTGCAGTCTTAATTATTAAGGAACCTCCGTTAGATTAAAAATACAATAATTCGTCCGGCGCCCTCCGAAAAACTCGATCTATCTAAAGCGCGATCCGCTTGAGGGAACGAACGCGCGCGTTGTATTTCGGGAACACCGTGTACATCGCGTTACGCTTCCGGTAGCGGCCGGTCCACATATAAATACAACTTCCGAGGCGTGGGAGCGCAATGAAATATTCCAGCGGGGGAAAAGATCTCGTCTCGCTTTCCGGCCAAGAGCGTGGCGTATATTGACGCGGCACGCTGCGCCGCTGCTAAAATTGGCAACGGATTGATTTTCGGGCTCACGCTCGCGCGGTTTACGCGCGTTAAACTCGAAAGTGCAACAAGGCGGGCGCACAGTGGCGAATTCGGTGACTTCGAACCGGCACGATGCACCGTACCGTAGAGTTTTATGAATCGCAGCGTGGTTATCACGGAGGAAAATTCCGATGGCGGCAATTCCGCGACAAGCCGCAACAGTTGGGTAGATATAAACTTTTGAAAACGTCGCTAAAAAATTGCTAATATAATAGATTGCACGATTATACTTTTCTCTTCTTTCATCTCTTTCTTTAAAGACCTTTAAATTTTCTATTTTTTAATTCTTTCACTCGGCTCTCTGCATCTGGCACTTACGCACTAACGTGTGTAACGCCATAGCGTTCGGTACCGCGAAAATAAATATTGACAAAGTATAAAGCTATGAGTGTAAAAAACATTTCTTTCAATCAGGTACAAACTTCTCTCGCAAACCAGTTTTCGATAAGTAATACGTTTCTTTTATTTTTATATTTCCATTATATTTTCTTTTTGTCAAATCCATTCTTTTACCTGATATAATTTTACACAGGTACGTGTTATCTGAATTGATGCGCTCACTACTGTGCAATGTGACGTACATGTCTGACAATGAGCGCGAATTTCGGACAATTCGATTTGTCAACTTTGAACACTTCCCTGCTGGAAATAATTCTACAAAAATTCTACAAAAAAAATATACTGTCAGAATTTAAGAAATTCTACATAAAAAGTGTTGTAAAAATGAACATGAAAATGCTAGAATTGAAACACTTTTGTGAATTCTTGTAATATTCTACAAGCAAGCAGATGTTTTAATTCTTTGAGATTTTGTTGTTTCTCAAATTTTTTAAATTAGTAAAGTTTTCTACTTTTAAATTAGTAAACTTTTCTAATTTTTTAACAAACAAAATTGTACATTTTCATGAAATACTACTTGCAATAATTTCTTCATTTGAGAACATTGTAATTTGTGGTACTATTTCGTCGATATTTTTACAAGAAAATTAATGTTTCAACGAAGATATAAAAATTTCTACAAATTTCTATTTCAAGTCATTTTTTGTAGTCATTTATAGAAATTTTCTCCGCTAGGGTTGTCATTTCAAAACTGTTATAACCTCGATATTTTGGTACTATTAAGATTTTCGTCTTGAAATTATCTCAAGAATGTGTCACTAACGGGTGGCGCGTCAGGTCTAATAAGACACGTTCTGTAGGCACATGCAGGGTGTTCCAGGAGGAAAGGTCAATATTCTGGGAGGTGATAGTATCGGTCATTTTAAGCAAAAATGTTCATATGAACATATGTCTCATTCCCCACTGTTTCCGAGATAGAGCACATTTTGTTGACATCCTCGTTCAGATAAAATATGAACACCGGGAAGCGTTCCACTTTCACGCAATGTATTGAAAACCTTGGAAAACACTTTACGATTCGGAATTCTGCGTGTAGGAAAGCGTCGACAGTATTCTTCAACAGCAGCGGTAGCACTACCATCACAGAAACCGTAAACATACAGCATATCTGCATATTCGACATTTGTGAATATGCTAGCCACTTTGAACATTTCTACAATGTTATTGGCACAACAGACGTATAAAAGTAAAGTCCCGCAGACGTTTATAAGGTTGGGTGAAGGGTGAAATGTACAGACAAAAAGTAAAAACACGAGACATTCAAGTAGCTCTATCTCGGAAACAGTGGGGAATGGGACTTATATTCATATGAACATTTTTGCTTAAAATGACCGATACCATCACCTCCCAAAATATTGACCTTTCCTCCTGGAACATCCTGTATACATATTTAATATGTACTGTACATACGAGTATATTCCCAAATAGCACCGTACATCTTATGGACGTCCGTTTTAGGTTCATTTTACTACCATACGGCCATGGACATAATAAGATCGTCCATTGTACATACATACAAAGATATACATTGGATGTGCATAAACGGACGTCCAGTGGACATCCATTTAAGATTCCCTTTATACTATAACTAATTTATGGATATATACTCCCTCGAGTAGAAATGAAATCATGCATGCCTTGTGTATGACGTCAGGGTCCGATAGGGAGGAAGTAAGGAATGCCCTAATAAGGAATCCCTGAAATGTGCCTGATCCGGTACGCCTGATTCCCTCATAGAATTTGATAAACGTTAACGTGAATATATAGCACTAGTACCACTCACTGCCGCGGCGTGGCGACCGCGCGTTAGTCTTTCTCGTAAGTAAAAATCATCCCGTATTAGTATAAGAGGCGAGCCGATATGATGCGACAGCGAGTTGTTGGATCATGGATAAACTTCAATAACCTGAATATACTTTTGATGACTATGTAATTTAACACAATTTAAAAATTAGTTTAAAAAATTGAATTTTCACCCTACTAAAATTTCTGCCTGGGAATGTATCCAGTAGAGATTTCAATTTTGTCCATAAAAAGTCCAAAGTTCATCCATTAGATTCATAGTTTATTCATTTACGATCCATAATTCATCCATAATTCATCCATAAATGTTCATTAATGGACAACTTATGGATGTCTATTGGAGTTGCAAATGGATGTACAATGGACGTTCTTCGTACGTCAGCTGCAACTGATATGGACGTTCGATGTATGTACACAATATCCGGCATGGATGTTCATTGTACGTACATAGGACGTACTTGTGTTTATTGGGTTACATCCCAGACAGCACACGACGTCCAATGGACGTCCATTATAGTGTTTTGGAAAGCTATTGAAATAAGCTACAAGAATATGTAATGAAAAAGGAGAGTTCCATATAAAAATTTCAAGATGATCTTTAGATAACCTTGATAAAGCTATTCAAGGTCATACTGATATTACTATGAAATGCGCCACTAAAAACGATACAACTTTTGTCTTTAACATTTTTTTTCTATCTTGGATATTTAAGAAGTTATTCAGGAATTTCAACTTAAATATACATATACTATATGTACATATGTATAAACTGAACCCTTGCACCGATTATCGTCAAATACAATACCAGCCATCTTTTAATGACACTCTATTAATGTGCCAAAGTTGAAGGCGATATCTCAAAAATTGCGGAAGTGAGAGCGCGAACAATTTAGTGAACACATACATACACACACACACACACACACACACAGATATGTTTTAATAAGTGTGTTTTTTGACGTTTTAAAACATTCTAAACCCATTGACATTGAAAACTGGAAAGAAATTTTCGCACGAAAACAAAGCTTCCTCTATGAGGAAGCAAAATGTATAATTATGAAATGTATATATGTATATTATATATGTATATATTTAATATTGGTAATTATTTAGATTAACACACCCACCTCCAATAACCTTGGGATTGACATATATTATAGAGGTCACCCTCCTGAGTAACCCTCAAAAGGATTTAGCCGGCGCTCGTTGTTTATTAAAAAGTTATTAAAAAAACAATGTCAACCAATTATATGTAATTTTTAGACACAAATATTAAAAATTTTGAAAAATGTTTTAAACAAAAGTTGTAGATCTCTTTAAAATATACATTTTATGTCCTATTCATTTTTACTATACGAGTGACAGTTTTCGATAAAAATGATGGACACTAAATCTTATATCTCTCCTCTCATCTCCATCTGTCGTACGTCATGGAAGTACATGCATGGAGACAGTATGTTCCGCCCCCCCTCCGGGGGGGCTCCACTTCGTTAAAAATAACCCTACCCACCCTATGTCAGAGGTGTGGAGTGGATCTCGCTTCACGTGGAAAGTCGCAAACCCATGTTGTGTCGCTACATTTCGTCAGTATGACAGAAGGTAGTAAGTTGTAAGTGCGGGAAAGGAGGTGAGGAGAGAGAGCAGGTGGGGTGGGGAAGGGATGGGAAAGGGGAG